CATGCAGGGAGAGTGTGCAAGGAGAGTGTGCAAGGGAAGTGTGCAAGGGAGGGCGTGCAGGGAGTTCATTCAGGGAGTGCATGCAAGGAGTTCGTGCAGGGAGTGCGTGCAGGGAGAGCGTGCAGGGAGTGCATGCGTGCAAGGAGAGGGTGCAGGGAGTGCATGCAAGGAGTGTGCACAGGGAGAGAGTGCAATGAGAGCGTGCAGGGAGAGCGTGCAAGGAGTCCATGCAGGGAGAGTGTGCAAGGAGAATGTGCAAGGAGAATGTGCAAGGGAAGCATGCAGGGAGGGCGTGCAGGGAGGGCATGCAAGGAGTGTGTGCAGGGAGAGTGTGCAGGGAGTGTGCACAGGGAGAGAGTGCAATGAGAGCGTGCAATGAGAGTGTGCAAGGAGTCCATGCAGGGAGAGCGTGCAGGGAGAGTGTGCAAGGGAAGTGTGCAGGGAGGGCGTGCAGGGAGTTCATGCAGGGAGGGCATGCAAGGAGTTCGTGCAGGGAGTGCATGCATGGAGTGCATGCATGGAGTGTGTGTAGGGAGTGCGTGCAGGGAGTGCATGCATGGAGTGTGTGTAGGGAGTGCGTGCAGGGAGTGCATGCATGCAAGGAGAGGGTGCAGGGAGTGCGTGCAAGGAGTCCATGCAGGGAGAGCGCGCAAGGAGAGTGTGCAAGGGAAGCGTGCAAGGGAAGCATGCAGGGAGTTCATGCAGGGAGGGCATGCAGGGAGAGCATGCAGGGAGAGCATGCAGGGAGAGTGTGCAAGGAGTGTGTGCAGGGAGCACACCCACAGCCCCCCCCGGACTGGGGATTCGTACCCCTCAATGGCCGGCGAGCGGTCGGGGCGGGAGCTGCCCCGGGAGCGGAACCTGCGTGCCATGGGCAACCGCGGCGGCCGGCTGGGCCCCCAGAGCTCGGCGTGGGCCTGGTGGCCCCGCTCGTTGTCTCTGCCGTCCTGGTCCAGGGAGCCGCTGCTCAGGAAGGGTCTGAAGTCGGGAAAGAACACGGTGTGGTCCAAGTGGTCCCAGAGCTGCGCGACAGGGGAACACAACGCACACGGCTGCGTCACGCCGCAACGCTAC